CCTTCCCCTTTTCTTTCATCTCCTGGTCCCTTTCTTATTTTCTAAAGACCTATCTTCCTGATTACTTTTATCTACCTTTTAGTTTGCTCTTTATTTATATGTTGGGTTTCTCATATGAGAGAAACTTTCTGATACTCAAGCATGGGTGTCTGATTTATTTTGCTTAAAATTATGTTTCCAAAATGCATTCATTTTCCTACAAATGAGCCTAATTTGTCCTTTTAGCACAGTAGTATTCCTTTATGTATAAATATCACGTTTTCTTTATCTGTTCTCTGTGGATGGACATATAGGCTGTTTCCAAGTTTTATCTATTAAGAATTGTGCTACTATAAACTTTGATATGCACATATCACTGTAATATGATGCCTTTAATTTTGGGGGAAGATGCTTAGTGTGGGAATACTTGGGTCAAATAGAATTTCTGATTTCAGATTTTTGGGAATCCCCATACTGATATCTCTAATGGGTGAACTAATTTACCTTTCCACCAACAATATAGAAGGGTTTCTTTTCACCAGAGCCTTACCAGCATTTATTATTATTGTATTTCTTGATGATAACCATTCTTTCTTCAGTAAAATAAACTCTTAGTGTTATTTTAATTTTATTTCTCCAGTAGTCACTGGTATTGAACGTTTTTACTTGTATTTATGGGCCATTTGTACTTATTTGAGATGTGTCTGTTCATTTCAGTTGTCCATTTTTTATTGGGTCTTTTATTTTGAGGGGCCTATTTTTTTTGAGCTCTTTATGTATTCTAGACATTAGTCTTTTGTCCAAGGTGTAACTGGTGAAATTTTTTTCCCATTCTGTAAGTTGTCTCTTCACTTTGTTGGTTGTTTCCTTTGTCACGCAGAAGCTTTTTAATTTGATATAATTCTACTTGCTGATTTTTTATGTCATTTATTGTACAATTGGAGTTCTTTTCAGAAAGTCCTTGCCTACACCTATGACTTCAAAAGTTTTACTCAGTTTATCCTTCAGCAAGATAGGCATTTCTGTTTTAATATTTAGGTCTTTGATCACTTCTCTTCCTTTGCTTTTGTCAAATAATCATTTTTCATTGAGAAAATTGGGGCTATCGGTTACCACCTCTGCCAACTCCTGATTTACTGCTACCCATCATGCTGTGCTTAGTTTCAGAAGGCCAACCAGACTCTGTTCTCTAAGATGCCAATTCCTCCTCATTCTCTTACCCTCACTACTTCTGCTTCCTCTAAGCTTATTGCTCATCTTTCTTTCAGGATCTTGAACCTCTCCCTCTCTCTTGGTTTCTTCTCTCCAGGCTATAAACATAACCAAGACCCAGCCCCTCCCCATCCCAGTATTTCCCCCTTGTCTTATCAAAACTGTGTAGAAAATGCTCCACAAGTGCTCCCTTCATTTCCTTACTCTTCATTTCCATTTCAACCCCTACTTCTCCCCAGTGTTCAAAGGAAATTACTTTTAATAAGCTCTTCTAGTTTTGTAGATCCAGGGGGAAATTCTTCTTAATTTTTTGACATCCTTTATTGAATGTGTCATGTGGCTGATTTCTTTCCTATCTGTGAAAAGTTCTATCTCACTGACTCCCAAGGTACCTCAATTTCTTGGTTTTTATTTCTGTTCCTTAATCACTTATGTGTTGGCTTTTCTCAAGCTCTACCCTACTTACCCCTTTCCACAATTTCTGATATTGCAAATGATACCCTACATGTTGATAAAAATCCTAAACCCAGATTTCTTCCTTAACCTAGTGTCTCAAATGTTTTATCTCCAGTTTTCACCCCTCCTTGCCTACATAGTATCTCCATTTCGATGCCACTCTTCTCTCACTTAATATGTGCAAAACCAAAATCTTGATTTTCCCTTCCCAGACTTGTTCTGCAGGCAACTTTACCTCTCAGCTGATGGTAATTCCACACCTCAGTGACTTAGCTTCCATACTTGATGTCATTTTTAATATCTCTCTTTCTCTTGCACCCTATAATCCTGTTCTTTGTGCCATCAAAATATATTAAGGATCTGATCAGTTTCACAGTCTCCCTTGGTTCATTCTCATCCATCTCTATCCCCATGGCCATACACTGTGCTAAAATGCTCCATTCTTCTGACAACCTTCTCCAAAAGACTGTGAGTTCCTTGAAGTTGAGGAGACAAGCCCAAGACCTCTGCCTTATCTTTTCCCGTACTCCAGGGGTAAATGGAAGCAGGCATCCACCAGCCTGATCAGTGATGGAGAAACTGAGGTATATTCCATCCAATTTCAGAGCTTGGAGCCCTCAGCCTAACCTTTCAGAGCCCCTTGGTATTACTTGAGGAGGGGCTTGACTTTCTGGGGTGTCAGTAAACCTCACTGTAAAGTCCCTGCCCCTCTGGAAGGTAACCATGGAGATTATTAGGCTGCCACAAAAACCTTCAGTTAATGGAGGCTACATTTCCTTCAGGATGCATGGGGAGGGGGATGTAGAAGGTGAAGGACAAACCTGGCAACACTTGAGAAGCAAAGGCTTTTTTGCTTGAGGCTCCTTGGTTGAGTGTGTTTTCTTTAAAATGGGCACTGATATTTAACTGGGACTAAGGTGTATTCTCACTATGAGGTGAGAATCAAGAGGATGCCAGATGTTTCCTTTTCTTGGAAAGTAGGACTCTCACTGTACAAGCAGGAGCAGAAAGTTGAGAAAACCATGCCAGCAACAACCTAGGCTGGACCTACTGAGTCTACTGGCCTCAGTTGGGGAGGAGGTCCCCGCTGCACCAATCCCTTCTTCTTCACCCCAGGCGTGTTTTTTCTCCACCCCGTCGGGGCCTTCAGTCAGGCAAGAGAAATTTACTTCCAGAATAACCCAGGAATCACGTTAGATCTCCAGAGCCCTTGCTGGAAGCTGGGAAGACTCCCATGTCCTTTTTCTGACCCCATGGTTTCAAGACCTTTTCTCCTGTCCCTTTTATGCTCAGTTGAGGCACACAGCGAGCCGGGCTCTGGGGCCTTTGCTCTCCTCCAGATGGACGAAGTGCCGGGCCCCAACTTTCCAGTTCCCGCCCGCAGCATTATGTGTCAGAGGTAGGCTGTGGTCACCAAAGCGCACCAAGGCTCACTCCTTGCGCGGGAAGAGGGTGGGAGTGGGTCAGAGTCAGGGAGGGTTTGGGTGACCAAGCCTGCTTGCTTCCTGAAAAGAGCCCCCGGGGCAGGAAGGGAAGAGCAGCGTGCAGGAGATGGACTTGGAGGCGAGGGGTGGTGGCAGTTTCCAGTCGCTTTGACGTAAACTTGAAGATAAGCAGAGTGCTCCCACTGCTTAAGAGGGGCGGTGGCATTCTGGAGTCGGACGCTGGGGACAGTCGCTCGCCAGCGGAGCATCGGAGCGCATTCTCTCCCCGCGCTTGAGGCACTACGAGAGGGAAAGACCGGTGAGTGCGAGGGGCGTCTAGTGGGCAACCCTGCGGGTAAGGTGAGCAGCCCAAGGGCGGGTCCCTGCAGCTTCGCAGGGAGGGAGAGGCGGGGAAAGCAGGTGCGGACAGAACGCACCTGATACAGCGCAAGGCTCATAACGGGGCTCTCAGAGGAGCCCAGCGAGAAAGAACTCAGAGAAACACTTCTGAAGTTTGGGAGAATCCCTCCCTAAAAGAATCTAAAGAATAAATGTGAGCCCTGTGGCCTGAGGAGCCCCGGACAGCGCCAACTTCAGAACCGTGGACAGCGCCCGCCCTTTGTGTTCTGGACGGTTCGCCCTGTTTAGATCTCTTACAGCAAGGCAGTCTTTGGGGATCTCAACTTTGATATGTTAGTTCTGAAAAGAGTACGATAAATGTTTTTTCTCCAACTAGAACTGAAATGCACACGATATAAAATATAGTATAGAACACTCTTATGGAATAATTTATATCTCAAACATGCCCTTTAAAAATAGGAATGTGTATGTTCACAGAGTTTCTGAAATATTTGTTTGATGTTGTCTCAGTATATCCTGCCGCTGTGCAGAAGAGGAAAATTCTATTTATGGTGTTGTCCTTAGATATTCTGATATAGACATATTCCATAAGTGTTCCCATGAAACAGCTCTTTCTTGCCTTTATGATACTCACATTTGAAAGCTCAGGAAACATAAACTGGAAGTGAGCTCTGTGTTCCCTTTCTGTTTCTTCTTTATGATGAAATTTCTGAGTGTGACACACATTTTGTACAGTCTGTAAAGGGTCAGATAAGCTTTTTTTCTGGGAAAAATTTAACTTTCCTCAAGGGCAGAATTTCCTCATTGAACTTTGTCAGAAGTGGTAACAAAAGAATCTTTTTTAAGTGATATGAGGATTCTCTGATTTTATGTGCACTTCTCTGCAGTAGACACTGAGAGCTGGGAAAGTTGAATTCTTAAGAGGCAAATGATTTTCGTTAAAGTCCTTGAGGTTCATAGAAAGAAGAAAAAAATTAGAAAATGTTATTTTTATTACACTTATATCAAAATAGAGGAAGATTTTAGATGTTTGTAAAACTTTTGTTGACTCTACTGTAATGGATTGAATATGTATTTTCCAGATCCAAAATATATTTACCCAAAATTTTAGTACCTATCTTGTATTTATCTTTTATAATATTTTATAATATTTATGTCTTTTTAAAAAATTAAAAGCCTCTGTAAATAGGGAAAGCATACAGGGTTAAAAAATGTTCAAGTTTTTAATTTTATGTTGAATTTTGATTAGGATGGTTAGATTTAAGATTCTTTTAAAACTATTCTTTTGTGCCAGGGAAAAAAGGTTTCAGTTATTAGCCTTGCAAATGAACAAACTACAGAATAATTCTTAGGCTAAATGTCTTGACTTTACACTACTTGGCCTGACAATGAATCAGTTTAGATAAAATTAGGCTTCTGGTATGAGAAGGAAGATAATCTCTTTCCTTTTTAGTGACCATGGTGTGCTTTCTATGCCTGGGGTAAGTTTCTTCAGGGGGTACTTATTTTCTTTCTCGGTGGAATGTAACGAAGGACTGATATATTTCCATCCTGTGAAGTTTCAGGGCCATGGATGATCCTGGAAAGAGAAGAGGGATCCATTGCCCCTGGAGCCTCACCTGCTCCCTGCTCATTTTGGGAATGTGCTGTGTGTCTCCTTTTTCCTGTCACAGCCAGACAGACCTGCTGACTCCTGACCAAACCGATCCTCAGTGCTGGGAATCCTCCTCAATACTCCTCTTGGAAATGCAAAAGCCTCGCATTTCCAACACTGTTTCAGGCTTCTGGGATTTTATGATTTACCTGAAGTCATCTGAAAACTTGAAGCATGGGGCCCTGTTTTGGGATCTTGCTCAGCTCTTCTGGGACATCTATGTGGACTGTGTCCTCTCAAGGAACCACGGCTTGGGAAGAAGGCAACTGACAGGAGAGGGAGACAAAATCTCAGCAGCTCAGCCACAGCATGCAGGGAGTAAACAAGGTGGTCAATCCACATTCCCATGTCTTTGAAAGGGTCAGTCATGTGCACATGTGCTGGGTGAGAGGAAAAGGGACATAGCTTCAGGGAAATCAAGTATCTCATAGACTCTTCTCAAAGGAGGAACCTAAGAACACACAAGTGATAGTAAAGGTAGATAGTGTATCATAGTATCTATTGAAATATTTGCATTTTATAGTAGCTGTTTATAGCAATATATTGTTCTCACCTTCATACTTCATGTGAATAGCAGCAAAGTCAGGAATAAAAGGGAAAGAATGATTCTCAAATGCAATGTAAAGTTATAAAGGTATTCTCCTAATCAACACACTTTTTCATTATGAGATTGAATATTGGCAGTCATAACTTGGCATTTACCTGATGTGGAGTTGGGAGGACTTGAACAAAAGCCTGGGGAATATTTGCAGCATACAAAAAGTATCTTTAAGTTGAAAAAGCGTTGCTTTTGTACAAGTGGGAGGTCTGTGAAAGGTGCTCAGTCGACGAAGTAAAGAGTGAAAAGATTTGCTGGCATCATCTTCTCTAGTTGTTCCTTTTTGAAGTAATTAACTTTGAGCAACTAAATTTTAGTCATAAAATTTACAGATTTTCACTGAAGTAAATACATAATCAAATAGTATTCTCTGGGGATATAAAAGAAATATTCCTTATAAAATTAGACTGCATGCTAGCCAATCCTTGTAGGTAAGCAGAGATTCTTGAGCTCTATTCATAATTCTTAAATCCTTTTTGGGTGTCATTTCAACCAATGAGCTTTCAAACCTTGCAGCAAGAGTTATTTAGGTGGCAGGAACTCTTCAGAATTATTTACATACCACTGGAAAATGCGGACATAACTAATTTTTACGTATTCCTGTAACTGCTGTATTACAATAGCAATTAACACGAGTAGTTCTAGCAGGTCCTTTCTTCATATTGTGCAGCATTTATACACAAGGGATGATTGAAAAGCACAGTGAACTTAAATTCTTAAAACACTATTACAGTAAAGGTGCATTGCCATTAATTTCCTTCCAAAAATACTTCCCCTTCCTTTGAACAGACGTAGGCCATCATTCTTGCCATTTTATGAAGCAGTTTTGGAAGTTTTCTTTAAGGAATGTTTTCACGAGGTGTGATTAAAAAATACAGTGAGTGCGGCTGCCGACTGTCATCCAAAGGAAAGGCAAGCTTTTGAAAACTCTGTGGTGTTTCCTCATCCACCTTATTCATTGGATCTGCAACTTATGGCTCCTTCCCAAAGTCAAAATGACTATAAAGGATCAACACTGAATTGAAGCAGGACCTCACGGTAACTAAGACAGCTCAGTTACAGATGCAAAAAGGCAGGACTTTCAGGGCTGCTTCAGAAGGTGCAAGAATGACTGGACAAGTGTGTTTTAAGCAACAGGGAGGATTTTGTGGCAATGATTAATGGCAATGTTTCTTTTATTGTAATTTTAAAAAATTTAAAAACACAATAGCTTTAGGTCACAACTTGGACATATAGTTCCCTTCAACCTCAGCAACTAAATATCCTCATGATTTGCTGGCCTACAAAACTAGATAATTCACTGCTACTATCTATAGGTAAATTTATTATATTGGTAGGTATAACTGTAATATACACTGATTTTATTTTTAGAGAAAATTCTATCTCAATAGCTTTAGTACGAAGGAGAAATACAGAATGAATTTCTTTTTTTTTTTTTTTTTTTTTTTTTGGTTTTTCTCCGGTACTGGGAACCGAACTCACGACCTTGCGCTTGCCAGGCAGGCGCTTTTTGCTGCTGAGCTAAATCCCCAGCCCCCAGAATGAATTTCTTTACATGTTAATTACCAATATTTTAGAAACAGTTTGAACAGAAATCTGGGCACCAGCGTTAGTAAAGAACATATACTTTCTTCTGTAAAAATGATTGTGCTCTGTAGGGCTATTTCTTCCATTCTTGACACATTTAGCTGTTGTACTCAGATCGTCACCATGTTGTTTCATCTTGCACTCTCTTTGAGTAACTCAGAAAAATGTCTACAGAATGAGTGAAAATTATTATTTGTGTTCAGCTGAGCACGAGAACAATACATATAACATTTGTGTCCAACACAGCTTCAGTTTTGGAAGCCACTTCCTTCAGCTCACTACAGATTTGCCATTTTCTCAGCCAGTCCCAAACTTTAGTGAGAGTTGCTTTGTGAGTACCTAAGTAGTAGAAGTGAACATTTCACTTCCTTGAAGTTATTTTAAAGCTTAGCTCAAACAATGGTTTGCAGATCAGGAAATAAGACTTCTCATTTAGTTGGTATCATCACAAAGAGTTTCTTGGGTCAAGAAGATGGATGTCTGAATATTAACTAGCTAGAGAACATTGAGATTTCCCCTCAAGAGGCTCAGTTAAATCTCTAGTGGCTGTACTGGGCTCTAGATGTACCAGTATGGTGCATTGATAAGTTTTTCTTTTGCTCTGAGAGGTAATATGCTACCAGATTGGGATAAAAGTGAGGGTCAAGAGGTATTTATCTCTATAATTCCTGGGGAGAAATTGTATCATCAGGACAGAAAGGAAGAAAAACTAAAATAAGTGTCCATATAATATAGAAAAACATTCTTGTTATTTTATTGTCTTTAAATTTAATATTTTAAATTTACTTACAAAATCTTACTATGAGTCATCCCTTGCTAAAACACATAACTTATGTAGTTTTGCATGTGACTATAATGTGTTTGAATACACATCAACAAATATGAGAACAAGAGATATCAAATAGTAGCACAATCTTGAGCAAATTAATTTGTATATTTAGTTTTCAGTTTCTTCATCTGGAAGAAAAGACTATGAAAGAAATTAGATGACCTACAAAGTCTCTTCAAATGGCTATGTTTCTGTAAGAAGAGAAATGTATGAGAGGTACTTAATTCTGCAAGAGCTTTCCCCCAAAGATAGCTGAGTGATAACTTGGACATCATGGTTATTTTACAATGAAAAGCAGCAACAAAGCCAGTTAGGAAATGAAAATTCCCAGCATTCTAAGGGCTGGAGATGATATTATGAGGAAAAAAACCACTCTAAATATTATTATTTAGTCTAGAAAGCCATTCACTTATAGCCTTCTAACTGAATATTAAAGTATTTGGAGGAAGGTATAAAGACAAAGTTCCCATACTTAGTCACTAAATTCTGATGTGTGTGTGTGCGTGTGTGTGTGTGTGTGTGTGTGTGGGTGAGAGAGAGAGAGGCAGACAGACAGACAAAGAAAAACCACAGAGTTCAGAGTATAAGAGCGTAGGTTAACTTGTAGGGTAGTAGAGGTTTCAATGCAAATGAAGTGATTTTAAAGTACAACATGTTCGTGTAAAAAATAATGGCTTCTTTGCTTTGACACTAAGAAGGACAGAAAACTTTGCCTCACTGGGCCTGGCAGTTTGTATGTTCTGGAAAAATTGTGAGCCTTTTCTCTGTGATGAGAAAATTATGATCTAGATTTATAATCTGATGATGTTTGCAGCTGGTATCTAACTAGTTGGCAAATGTTCATAGTGATTATTTTTTAATAAGTTGACTCACAAATGTTTAATTTTCTGCTTTATTTATTCGATATATTTCCTAAGCAAAATGATACAGCAATTACCCATCTAGAAATTTGTGTAAGGAAACATTTCGAGGTACACCCAATGAAGACTATAAGACAGTTCATTGTAATATCATTTATAGTAATATAAAACCTATAAGTAATCTAAATGCTCCACAGTAAGTACTGTTTAAATAAATCATGTATGAAGTATGTGTATAAAGTTAAAGTTATCTCTGATGTATTATATTGTGGGTGTTTGGAAATATTTCCTTATATTTCTGTATTATGAATAATGTGACAACCATTTGGACTTTTAAAATAAGAAATATTTTAATGCAATTGGCAAAGAAATATTTCTTATAATTTATGCAACTGACATTACATAAATTAGATTGAATAAGATACAAAACTTTTTGTGGATATAAATTCACATACATAACCCTAAAATATATTTATAGAATTTCAATAGTAGAGTGGTAGAAACAGCAATTTTTCTTTTTAAAAAATTTACTGATTACTCTGAAAATTACTATTAATCTAAAAATAATTTAATAACCTTATGAAGTTCCTTTTCTCTACTTTCAGGTGCATATTCTCAGCTCCTAAGAACCCCTTTCCTAAAGAAGAAGGAGTTAATTGAAGATCTGATAAGCATGCATGTACGCAGGAGTGGGTCTAGGTTTCTTGGAAAAGTGAACCTGGAAATAAAGAGAAAATTAATTTAACCTCTGCACTAACTCATACTTTGGAATTAAATATATGCATATAATATTATAGACACAAAAGTATTTTTTTCTTAACTATTGATATGTATTTGTTTTAGATGGTGGAAATGTCTACAGAAAAAATATTAAGTCAAGATCTCAAAGAATGCTGATATAAAGCTTCATTCTTTTAGGCATGTTTCTTCCAAAGGTGACTAGTGCTAGACCATCCCACTATCTCAATAATTTAAGTAACTTCCAAAGATGACTTGGGGATTAGAAGACTCCCAACTTTGGATATTCATCTGACAATTTATTTGGGAACCTTGACATGATTAATGAACCAGATGGCCATATATTTAATGCATTTAAAAATGCTGCATGAATTCCAAGCTATTAACTACTGGACTGCTTATGCAAGAGCATGTAAGGGGGCTAAATGTATTGTTACTGACAAGCTGTGATACTAAATCTTGTTTGAGGGAATATTTTGGAATACTGAATGAAGCAACAAATAAAACAAAACAACAACCTGGGGAATAAGACATTTATTTAAAGGAAATAAAATTAATAAAAGTTTCAGACCTCAATGTTATTGGAGTTTCTTTATTTCAATACTTAATGCTACTTCTAATGATGTCCAAACTCTAATAAAGTAGCATAAATATAAACTGTCTCCCAATCACACATTTGTTGCTTGCTTAAATATTAAAACTCTATAATATAATAGTTATCCTTTGCATTGAAAAACAAAATAAGATTAAAATAAACAACATTATAAGAGAAGAACTTATAAATACTTTTTCCTGAAAATGACCAGACCTGAATGAGACTCATAGCAGTGATGTTTAATTAACAAATTTATTGGAGCTCCAGATACGATGTTATCCTTATTTTCTAATGATTCCCATGTCTCTAATCATTCTCTTAAAACCAGTGATTGACAGCCAGTTTGGACTTCAGATATGTTAGCAATTCTCTTGCCTCTTACAGGTTCAAATAAAAAAGCCTCAGTAGATGTTTCACTGAAGGACTGGGGTCCCCCTGAAGCTAGAAATCTTATCGAAAGTGTTATTATAAGACAGCTTCATTGGAGGATTAACCAAATCCTTACAATGGGTGCAGAAAGCCTGGGAGAAAGAGCTGCGGGAGGAGACCTAGCCTCATGTTTTGGTTCACTGTGTGAATACGAACATTGAAACAGTTGCCATCCTTTGGCTACATTTTCTACATAAGCTCATGGTTCCTCTCGCATGCAATTTCCCCTAATATCTTTCCTCACATCCCTCAAAATCATCTGGGAAACTCATTACCTCTCATACATCATTGAGGAGGCACCATGCTTGGGAAATGGAGGCTGCTCTTGGCTCCTCTGAAGGAGTTAGCAGCGTTTCTGCCAAGGGTTGGGTCATAAATATAATCAGCTCTGCTTTGTGGGCTTCTGTCTCTGCTGCAACTTATTCATCTGCTTTGGTAGAACAAAATAAATTACAACAACATATACATCCAAGGACATGGTTGGGTTTCAATAAAACTTCATGAATGTTCAATTTTGAATCGATATAATTTTCAGGTGTCACAGAATATCTTTTCTGACCATTAAAAAATGTAACAAGCACTCTTAACTCATGCCTACTGTAAGAACAAGCAGGGGGAAGATTTGGCTTGAAGAATAAGGCTTGAAGACCCATGATGTAGGCCATGCTTATCAAAGTTATGGAACACCCTGGCATAAAGGAAGGAGAGTGAATTTTCAATGAGAAAACCATAATGAAACTTTATGACAGGTGGGAAAGCAATTTTAAAATATCAGGATGAGAATAAGCAGATTGATCTATCCAACAGGATACTATTTCACTGTATAAACACCATTAGGAGTTATAGATTATTTAAATAAAATTCAACAAGTCAAAATAGTGAAATCAACAATATTACTGATAAAAATTACAAAGCAGTGGTTTGAATACAGGCTCCAGACCTAGGTTCCAATCCCAACTTTAAGTTCCAGCTGCAGGATTCGAAATAAGTTGCTACACTTCTCTGTGCCTCACTTTTCTTATAAAATGAGAAACCTACTTCCTAGCTCTGTTGTGAGGATTGACTGAGTTAGTACACATAAGGTGCTTAAAGCTAAAAGTTCTAATAGCCAAAACCTGTGAGCTATGACTTTGAACATCAGTTGAGTGTCTATAACCTGATCCAACATACAGAGAAAGGACGTCCAGAGGTGTATTGGTGAAATTCATCAGATGTGAAGTTTTAGAGAGAAATACAGACACAATTTTAAAATTTTTTGAGATACTTATTAAAAGAGAGAATACATATAGGAACTTTGTACACCCTTTATCCAATTTCCCATAACAAAAGCATTCTAGATAACTATAACACAAAACCACACTGAGCAAACTGGCATTGGTGCAATCCAAATTTCACCAGTTCTACATACACTCTTTGTACAAGCATGTGTATATATGTGTGTGTGTGTGTGTGTGTGTGTGTGTGTGTGTGTGTGCGTGTGTGTACATATGTTTAGGTGTATTTAGTTCTTTGCCAAGCCTGTTCTGTAGCCACAGCATCCAGATATAAAATTAGGCTGTCAACTCAGTAATTTAAATGATACCCAAAGAAGAAGACTTGCATTCATGTGGATCACACATTTGAATGTTACTACCAAAATGTTCAAAGTGAGTGTAAGGTTCCCCTGATGGAAACGAACTACCCAGAATGGACTGTGTGTCTCCCCTCCCCTTCACCCTTCAGGCTGCACTCTGAACTAAAGAACTAAGGTAAGTAAAGAATTTAAAAAAAAAAAAAAAACAAAACTTCATAATTCACACCAACTATTGAGAGAGAGAGGTAGGATGCTTCATTCTCTTAATTCAGATTCTGAAAGAGCATTTATCACCATATGAAGGGGCTTTCAGCCTGGACTCCTTTTCACTTCATGCTGGGCAAGGTGATTTGATCCACAAGGGCAGAGAAAGCCCTGCACACCCGCTCAGCTCCACCATACAGATCCACGTTCACTGAGGACTGGGGACCTGCAATCAGCAAACAGAAGACCATTTCAGAGAAGAGCACTTGTAGGCTCTCAGGTTGATCTGGACAAAGATGTTGCACAAAGAACCCTTCTTTCCTCAATTCCCAAGAATAATGTCCTTTCTCTAAGCTAGTTGGTAAGATAAGTTGGCTAGGATCTACCACAATCATTATTACTGTTACAGGTTAGCTCTAAAATGTGCTCCAAAAGCCTCCTGTGTGTGAAAGAAGACTGGATCATGCAGGTACTAGACACATCAGTTCATAGCTGATTGAGCTGTTAGGAGGTTATCCTGGTGGAAGAGGAAAATTGCTAGGCATGTGACCAGAAGAGTGTATTCTTCTTGTCCCTAGCTCCTCTCTTCTCCCTTGCTTTCTGGGTGCTGTGGCCTAAGCAGCTATCCTCAGCCAGGCTGTTCTACCCTGTCATTTCTGCTTTGGAGCCAGCCAATCATGAACTAAACCCACTGGAAACTGTGAGTCAAGATAACCCCCTTCTTTAACTTGTGTGTGTTGGGTATTTTGTTCCAGCAGGGAAGTGACTAGTACAATTCCTAATCCAATCTGTTTGTAGGTTCTTAAGGTACCTTTTCCCTGTGGCTCCTAACTCAAAACTAAGGCTCTAGAAAGCCCATGCCAGAACAGTGTCTTTCAAACTCTGGTGTACATGAGAATCACCCAGAAAGCATTAAAACAGATTGTCAGGCCCATACCTTCAGGGTTGTGATTCATTCTATCTGGGTCAAATCTGGGAACAAGTTCCTAGGTGATACTTATGCAACCTAGGAATCATACTTTGAGAACTACTGCTACTTCATTAATGGTTTAAGTGGTTCTCTGTGATTTCTTGTGGTAGGGAGTGTGCCGTAAAAAGATCTACAATTTTGCAGTTACCAACCAAAAATTTGATGTACATGATCTTTAATCTAAGAGTTCTGTTTTAAGAAATTTGTCCTACTTCCACACAAGCACAAAGACAGACATAAGGATATTTACCAGAGCCTTTTTGTGACAATAAAAAACTGGAAGCAACTTAGTTATATATTGTTAATAATAGTACCTACGTTTATACCCCAAGATACTATGCAGCACTAAAAAATGACTGTGCTCAGTGTCTTACTTTCATCCTCTGTGTCCTTGAATCCAAAGTGAGTCATTTACAGACACTACAGCTGGATACAGTATATAGTTGGATCTTGTTTTTTGTTAATTCATTTAACAACTCTTTTGATCTATTTACATTTAGAATAATTATTGGAAAGGAAGAATCATTTTGAAATATGTTAGTTGACTTGTGTCTTATGGTTCTTTTGTGTCTCTTTTTCTCTTTTCCTATATTTCTTTCTATTCACTGTTTTTTTGCACTGTAATACCTTCATTATTTTGTATATCTTCTATAGGTATTTTGTGTGTATATGTTTACCAAGAGGTTTACGTCAAATAACATAGTGGTAGCAGTCTTTTTCTTTAAGCTGATAACAATTTTGATAATCACTTTTACTACCTGGATCACATTTTGTTAGTGATATAAAATTTATATCATTTTTTACCTTAATAAAGTTTATTTAAAAAAGAAATACTTTTTTTTACAATTGAGAATAATATAATTTCCCATAGTGTAACAAAATCTTTACATAAAATATTAATTCAGTCTCCTTTTAAACAACTCTAATGAATGCAAATATCTCTTCTAAATAAATTTTATGTATTTTTCAATTTTTAATCTTACTTTTAAAAAATAGTCTGCAAGCTGTGTTAGAACACAAAAGTGCAGAGCATCCCCCCTGGGAGAGGGGTGCTGGCCAGGTCCTGATCCAGCCAGCAGGAGAGACACATGGCCCACCACAGGGGGTCACATGGATCCGTTGTGGGCCATCAGTGGGCCCAGGAGCAGGTGCTTATTTCCACAATGGCATCTAGAGTGGGGATTGACCTCTGCCATACTTCTACAGTGACTTAGAGGGAAGCAATGGAAAATGTTTCCTTCCTTCATTAAAATACCAGATACTGTAGCTCAGTATCACACCAAACTCTTCATGGGTGTAGAGAGGCTGAGAAAAGACTACATCATTTTTGTTAACTAAGTGCTCATCATTGCTGCATCCTGCTGTGGTACAAACCAGTTACCTGGGATGACGAGGAACATAGCAGGAATGCTCCTGCATTACTCCCGCCTAACCACTTTTGAAAAGGAAAAATCAATGTAAGATCTTTTTGTTTGTATACTCATGAAAATCAATGTAAGATTTTTTTGCTTGTATATTCATGAACATTTTAACAGTTACAGTTATCTTCTCTTCTAACTTTATATTAGAATGAAAAGTGACTTACACTGTTTAAGTATCATGGTATTCTGATTTGTCTCTAGTATCTTCACCTCCACGAATTACTTTTTGTGCAAAAGATTTTTGGTTGGCAGTTTTTTCTTTTAATACTTTCAATATTCACCTTCTTTCGGCCTGAAGGACTTCTGCTGATGTGGTTTTATGAGGGATAACTCACTTTTCTTTTGTCACTTTCAAAATTCGCTTTTGTGTTTTACTATGGAAAATTTGGTTATAATTTGTCTTTATGTGAATTTCTTTGAGTGCTAATACAGGGTCTGTTGGGTTTTCTTGATCTAATTCGTCATTTTCTTCCCCAGATCTGATAATTTTGTTCATTATTTCTTTGCATAAGCTTTTTGATCTTTCTCTCTCTCTTTTGCAATTAGACTTCCCATAATGCACACATCGGTCTGTTTTGCAACATTGCATGAGTTCATTCCACTTTCTCCTCTATTTTTTTTTTTTTTTTTGATACTGGGAATCAAGCTCAGGATGTTGCGCTTGCTAGGCAGGCACTTGTGCCACTGAGCTACATCCCCGGCCCCCACTTTCTCCTCTCTTTTCCCTTCTTCTCCTCTGACTGGATAATTTCATATACTCCCCCTTTCAGTTTGTGGAATCTTTCTTCTGCTTGATTCTACATTGTTGTTGAGTCTTTCTATTGAGGTTTTCATTTAAATTATTGTACTTTTGTCTCTAAAATTTCTGTTTGGTTCTATTAAAGTTTTTTGTTTGTTGAAATTCTCTTTTTTTTTTTTTTTTAGACATTGTCCTCCTGATTTCATTGAGCATCTTGATGATAGTTATTTTGAGTTCTCTGTCAGGTAATTCATAAGCCAGTTTTCCACAAGGGTCCGTTTCTGGGTCTCTCTTATTCCTTTGTTTGGACCCTTGCCCCTGCTTCAGCTTTCTTTACTCTATGTGCTGGTCAACACAGTAGGAAAGAAAAAGCTGCCTCTCCTCTTCATGCACTCTCCTATGCATGCTTCATTTCTTGCCACACAGAAAAAGAGGCTCAGTCTGGTGAGAGGTTTTTGAGAGCCTCTCAAGCCTTCGTGTTGTTCCTGTTGCCACCTTTGTTCTTCATAGCCTTTAGGCATGTGGAGTACGATGGGTCCTGTCAGTACTCGGAGCCAGGTATGCACAAGCCAGTCTCTGCGACAGCCTCTGAAGAGTCAGAATTGTGGGTACATTGTCCGTCTGTTTCCTTCCTGGGAAGCTGGGACTTTGGGTTTATTTGTATGCATGCTTGGCGCTAACCTGGGGGAGGAGCTATAGGGAGTGTTTTCATGCTAGTCCAGTCTACCGTCCTTCTCAGGCCATGCTGCTCTAATCCTGCCACCCTCCTCCCACCTTCCCTTGTCATCACTAAAACAGAACGTGGCAAGTGGATACCAAAAAGGGAAGGGAAAGTGTTGCTGTGAGCAACCACGGGCGGGGGTAGAGGATGAAAAAGATTCCTTGGAGACCAGACCTAGTTCAATCCACTGAGAGACCCAGAGGGGCTATTTCTCAACCAAGAGCACCCAGCCCTCTGGGAGACACTGAGAGAAGAAAAAGCCATGATGTTGAGAACTCTCTGGCTTTTATTCAGAATATCAGTGTAAGAGAAAAAAGAAGAGAAAAAGTAGTTTGGGACAGGCACTGTCTCAAGGCTAAGCAGTTTTTCTTGTGGAAAGGGGAAGGACAATAGCAGGCACAACATGCTTCACTTATCTAAACTTCTTACTTAACCATTCAATTCTCACACAGCTTATGTGCTTTTGCCCCATAGTTTAACCAGTCATTCCTCGTAGAGCCTATGCGCTTTTGTCCTGAGTGTAATCAGTCAGGTCACTCCTGGCCAGGTGCCCCACAGGACAGCAGCTGAGAAAAATAATTTAGGAGACATACGTGGGAAATTTCAGTCTCAAATGGAAAGTGAACAATTTATTAAGTCAAAAAAAAGATAAATTTGTCCTTTACCACAGGAACAAAGAGTATTAAATACATTTTCAAATATGATTTCTTTACTACAACTTTTAAACAAAATATTTGATAATGATTTTCAATTCAACATTTAGATTTGAAAGAGTTTTGGGGAACTCCTTATATATAACTTTCTCTTTTCCATTAAGCTCTCATAGTCTCTTGAAATCCCATTATCTTAGATCATGTTGCTGACTAATTCTATTCAATTGATGTCAAGAACTGCCCAAAAATGATAATCAGGTTTGCTGTTTTAAAACAGTTAAGCCTTTAAGTAACGTAAAGGTCATTTTAATTTGCAAAATGTGGAGGCGTCTTAGCAAAGCACCATCCAAAAGAGCAGTCATCTCCTAGGATAATCACCATGCTGGACTGATATATTGACACTCTGGGTAAATCTTAGCGTATCACAGACAACAGATACTTCTAATTTTCCCAACAATCTTCAATTAAGAAAAACCTGGGAGCATAAAATGAACACAAACACCCTGTTGTTATCTGTCACTTCCCTGATAGAGTCAGATAAATAGGCCTTATTTTAGCTTGTTTCCTTTTCCACATCTTCATAAATGTGGTTGTGATGATACTTCTGGCTATGATTAAGTCTGTTATAATTCTGATAAGCAGCATAAACTGTGTATAAATTAAGGAATATATTTTTATAATCTACATTGTCAGTGGCTAAGTGGAGTTTGAAAACAGGATCATCAATATGAGATTAAGAAAGGACCCAAATTTAATTGGAAGTATTTGAATGACGAGTGATAGAAAATACAAAACAGCAGCTATGGAGATTAACACAAATTCTTATGTCTTATGATTAAAGGCTCAGAATAAAGAATGCTAGCATAAGAGAAATAATACTTAAAATTTAAATGTTATTACAAAATAAAGACTGTTATAATAACAAAAAGAGGGGATGAGTATCTTCTTGCTAATATCAGAAGCATGTTTATATAATAATGCATACTAAAGCACCTCAGTGATTCTGTTGCAATTATGAATGGAAACAGGTGAATTTTTGAGGGATATTTTTAAAATTGTACAAGGCTGAGTAATACTACTTGTTTATTTATACATTAATGTATATTATTCATCATACTTTTCTGAATTCACATCATCTGAGTTTAGAAATATACTTTCCTCTGTTATGATTTTCCTCTTAGTGGTATAGTGATTCCTGTATAGATGGATATAGATATATTCATATACATAGAACTTGATAAGTCACTTAAAATACACATGAATCTTTTACCCTTAGGTATTAAACTGGACAAATGTTGTGATATTGTCTTCCAAATAGGAGTAATAGATTCAACTTATTAGGAACCTGAAGTGTACATTATTATGACTACATTTATGAAGGTTGGCCCAAAACAGTTTGAGAAATCGGAAGCTTTCATCAGGTCAGTTGCAAAAACAACTAAAAAAATAAAAGCACGATAAAAGCATCAAAGACTACAAAACTTTGTCATCATGCCCACTTTTTAAGTGAAATTTTCCTTAAAAAGTCAAGTGGATATTGACTTAGCTTCGAATACTCATCATAGTCCCCAGGATGTTTAGATGGAAATACAGTGGGTGAAATTTTATGCTGGTTTAAGAATCGGGAACAAGGAGTTCTCATCCTCTCTGTCTCCGCTGTCTGAGCATGCTTCTGGCATCTCTGTGAAAGTGTTTCTTCTAATACTGAGGTTATAACTCCAATTTCATTTACTGGAGAGCTTTTTAGAATCACCAAATAAATTATTTCATTGATTTGGCTCTGTTAATTTCTGTATAACTGACATTATTATGTGCCTGGCTTATAGCTCTCCAGTTGTCAGGGCCTGAATTGTGTCTCTCATCAACTCATACACTGAAGTCTTAACTCCAGCATCTCTGAATGTGGCTGTATGTGGCAGCAATATCTTTAAAGAGAGAACTAATTTGAAATTAGATTTGAAATTTGAAATTGTACAAATTTATTAGGATGGATGCTATTTCAATATGGCTGAACAGAAAAAGATATATGGACAAAATGTACATAGAAGGAAGAACATATAAACACACAGGTAGAATGTAGCCATCAACAGGTGTCCAGGCCCGTTCTCTTCCTCTACCTCTCCCTCCTTCCTATTTGTCTTCCTCCTCTTTTTTCTCCTACTTCCTTTTTGTGGGGGGTGGGGCTTTAGGTCACTTAGTCTATGGTACCTTGTATGGCAGCCTTAGAAAACTAAATATACCAACTCAGAAATATATTCAGCCCTCCTCTGAGAATGCAGAAACACAAGAGAATATTATTCTTCAATCTGTCACAGAAACCTAGATAAATCACAAGTCTCCAACATAAAAAATCTTTAAATTTCTCTAAAGGATATAGGCATATTTTAGCTAGAAATAAGATATTACTCCACAACATGAGAAATAACTATAGTAAAGGATTTTTAAAAAGCTCTTAAGAATTCAGCAATGAATTCTGAGTATGATAAGCTCAACAATAAGCTTCTAAATATGACAATGCTACTTATAATACAGAAACCTAAATCAATTATCCTTTATAAAGGGAACAGCATTACTGTCCCTACTTTTAAGTGGTGACATTGGGCTACCCAGTTGTATATGATTTAAAGTTACTGAAAATAATAATTGCAATAAGTGTTTATATAATGATTAATATGTGCCATGTACTAAAGACTTGCATGGTTCATCATCTTTAACGCTCACAGTAATTCTACATATAAGTCAATATTGGGAAGCAGGTTCAGAGATGCCACGGATATCCCAAAGATTCGGAACTCTGTTCTACACTAAACTGGAGCCACTCGGCTAATAGGTTTTTTTTTTTTTTTTTTTTTGGTTTTTCTCTGGTACCGGGAACCGAACTCACGACCTTGCGCTTGCCAGGCAGGCGCTTTTGCCGCTGAGCTAAATCCCCAGCCCCAAGGGCTAATAGGTTTTTAAAAGGCAGCCCAAATTCCTGGCCAGAACTGCTTCCCTGGCTGAAAACCTTACCTGATGGCCTTTCTGGATTGAATGCTCCCATGAGTTTTGACAGTAGCTCCTGTAGTTCCTGTTCCTCCAGCTCATCCTTTCTTCCTGCAACGTTAACCACCACTTCCTTTCCCGCTGATGCCAGAGCAGTGCTGCTCATTTCAGCGGGAGAAATTTGGGGCTTGTCTTGAAGAAGCCCCTGTTGATAACTGGGCAGGGAGCTGAGGATTTTCTTTGGTATCTTTTGTGTGTAGCTTTGTGCGCTGGTGGTTTGCACCATGGTTGCTGGTGATTCTGAATCTGGAGGAGCATGGTCTTCATTTGCTTGGCTTCTGTCAACCAGGGCAGGGTTAGGAAGAGGATTCCAAGCTGGACCATCCTGAGTGCCATTCTTGATATGATAAGAATCTCTTCCCTTCCAAAACTGATCCATTGAAGAACAATCAACCTTGGACACCATATGTTGGCAGGAAGACAAAGGATGGAGTGGCTGCAACATTGCCTGTGTGAAGAAAACCTTATTAATGAAAAAGTAATATTTACCTCTTTCACAAATGCTTCAAATTTTAATATTCCAACAGAAGGTACTAATGTGACATAGTTCCTTTTCTCTAAATATATTATTCATTTTATTTTATGCTGTTAATTCCACACAGATCTAAAACTCTCTAAAAGATTGGATTATCTCAGGTTGTAAAAAAATTACAGGGTACAATCACAATAAATTTGGAAGAAAAATCTAAATTCTAAAAAGCTCAGATTCTAAAAATGTTCCAAGGAATTTCTCAAAACATAAGCATGTACTGGATGAGAGATAAAAATTATCACAATAAAATATTCATAATAATCTGTCTAATAGGTGTGTTGTTAGGATTTACAATAACCCAGAGGTATAAAATCTAGGGTGTGGTCCATGTTAAGCACAGTTCTCAAAGTTTGAACCCTAGTCCTGGGAATTCCTGACACTCCTTTAGGGATTAGTGAAGTAAAATTATTTACATAATGATTCTTTGATATATTGGAGTGTTCATTGCATTGACACTTGGAATGCTGGTATAAAATCCACAATAAGTGTGGCTATGGGTGCCTTAGCAGGGATCAAGCCAGCGTCAGCACACCATCATACACTACCAAGTTAGAAAAAAGGCAGTTGCACTTAAAGATATCTTTGATGGAATAGCACAAGTTCTTAGTTTTCTTAAGAATAAGCTATGCCTTTTAAATATTGTGTGTGAGGGAAAAGGTCATACATAAAACACTTCAAATGCATACTGCAGTGCAAACGTTGCCTCCCGTGCCAAAAGAAGACTGATTGATAGAATATGACTATTCAGACTTGGGCATCTGGCAAATATCTTTTCAAAACTGAACAAATCAAGAATGTCTTACAAGGAAAACAATGAACTGCATTGTTGTCAATTATAACACTTAAGCTTTCAAGAAAAAATTAGAATTTTGGAAAACTTGGATCTGCCACCGGGAGCTTGATAGCTTTCCAATTCTTGAACACTTTTCTAATGGAATTACTGGTGACATTAATGAATGTGAATTTCTCTGGATTCTGTGTAATGAAATGAGAGCCCTAGGAAGTACAGCACAGCTCAGTGAGCCAATATTTTCCATATGACTAGTGTATGTTGTTTAATAAAAAACATGCTCAGGGAATTTTTTTAAAGAGCACACTAGAAAACTGTATTTTAATTAAACAATGAAATATTAAGGCTTTATATTTATACTGCAACTATCTTTTAAGAAATTATTTTTATTATGTTTTAATGTAGTATCAAAGAAAAGTATTCACAGTCCCATGAAAGGCTATGAAAATACACTTATTTTTTCAACTGCAAACCTATGTGGGTTTGCAGTTTCTTACCCTTCACTCAAAAAGTCTTACCACAGATTGATTACCAAAGCAATCTGTAAATTTAGCCATCTTTTATTAAGCTACATATTAAAGAGATTTATAAAAAAACATAAAATAATATCACTTTGTTTTAAAAAATATAGTTATTATTTTAAAGTATTATATATACGATGAGTTTATTTTTATTTTTCAGTTAGTTAATGAATATATCTTAAACACTTTGTAGTTTTAATTTTGAGTATAGTAAACAGCAACAGATATAACCTACAGAAACAAAAGCTCCTTGAGGGCCCCCAAATTTTTAAGAATGTATAAGGGATGCTGAGACCAAGAGGTTAAAGAACAGTGCTGTGCAGAACTGCTTTGCCCTCAATCTGTTGCTTCTAAATGGTACTAATCCTGCTGTCTTTCTATAGTGCCAACTTCAGGAAGGGGAAGCACATAATGTGGAGCGTAGAGGTGGAAGAAATCCGGGTATGGAGAGGAAGTGGCATAAGAAGAGGCCCATTCGATGAGGCATGAGGCTTTGGGCTGCAGCCTGCCTCTGCTAGAGGACTTGAGCTTAGACTTCCAAGCCATTCATAGACCCAATGTCTCCTATATTTTGTACCTGTACATCTTGTCGCATCTGCTGTAGCTTGGACCATAGACTATTCTGGTTGCTTGTGAGTTCCTGAATCTTTGTCTCAAATCTGCAACTTTTTTCCTCCTGGAAGGTATATATTGCTCGCAACTTGTCTTTGTATTCATTTAACTGCATTTTAAGGAGCCTGAAAAGAGAAGAGGTTTGAGTGGTATGGAAGGGCAAGAGCCCAGCACTCTGCCTGGAGCCCTGCCAAGATGTCAGCAGGTCCTTGACTACTGTCTAACTGGATCAGTTCTGTTCTAATGGTTTCTTCACATGTCCAGCTACCCTTTGGGTCTATTATGTATGCAACTTCACTGAAGATCTTATTGGCACACTTTCGATTACTTTTGACAATGTTCTTTCACCAGCTACCCAAATAATATTGGCTGTACCCGCCATTCTTTTGTGTAGAAGCACTCCATGGAGAAGAGTGACTCAGCCTGCGTGGCTAAACACCAAACACTTCGTCCAGACCACAGGGAAGGAGCAAGCATACAGTTTGTGAGCTGTGGGTCTGCTTTGGTTTCTCTTCCTGTCTAGGTGTTCACTGGTTAAAGAATGAACCTAGCAACCATGTGCTTCCTTTGCTCTAAATCCTCAGTGCCCCCCCTTCTCTTTTAGAGCAAATGGAATCCCTTCCAGAGGCAGGCAAGCGCAACGAGGTAGCCGAGCCTTCTTCCCTACCTGGTCTCATCTGCTTTTTCTTGCTTACTCACTGCCCTTCAGCCCCAAGAGCTCTTGGTTTCTCCCTGATTCTCCCTTGACTCACTGCCTTGTGCCTTCAAGTCCTTGCTAACACGTTTACCTTCAGTGAGGTCTTTCTGACCCCATACAAAACAATTACAAACCAGAGCCTCAGCCTTACTCTGAAGTACCTGCCCCTTTCCTTTCTTGCTTTGTCTCCATGGCTCATCAAGTCTAATTGCTAGGAGCTTAAAGGGAGCTTAGATTTTGTCCAGAAGATAAAGGGCTCCAGCCTTTAATCTTCTGGACAGTCATACTGTGTGACATACTGCATGTTTTACTCATCATTTTACTTATGTTACTCAATTTGTTTTTTGCTTACTGTCTCTTGATTCTAGAAAATTTTTCCTGTTTTATTTATTATCATGTCTTCAGGGCATTGGCCTAAAATAGTCTCTGTTATATAGTAGATATACAACTTAAATTGTCTGAAGATAATCTTTATTCTTTAATCCATGCTGACCACATTTTTGTAGAATTTATGGATACCGGTTTTCTGTTGTGAAATGAAACATTTCTCAAGGTTAACACCTTTGAATTTCCCAATTGTTACAATGCTTAGAGAGGTCTTGGAATGCAGTTGGGGGTTCCATCCAAACCAGTATCTCTGAAATGATAGCCCTGAAACTTTCAGCCACCCGGGTGAAGCATGAATCTGATGCTAACATGTTTAATTGCAATTGCAGTGTTGGATGTGTCAATATGATGAGTATAAATAAAGGAGTCAGCCCAGTGTTATATAACTGACAATAAAGAAATGTTCTCATGGGCCTTTGCAGACAGTGCCCTCCATACCTAAAGTGTTGTGCCTGCTTTGACCCGACTAATGACAGTCTCTCTCTCTGTCTGCATGTTCTCTACTGCCCACATCATTTCCTTTTTGGCTAATCCACCATGCTCAAACAGCTAAGAAAACTCGGGCCCCAACCACCCACATTCCAGGATAAAGTAAGTAGATCCCTATCAGAGATCCGATTCTTTCTCATTCTGATTTTTAAAAACACATTCCAATAACTTTAATAGTCCTTTCAGCCATTTAAACCAACACTGTTGGAATCCTCCAAGGAAGACTTTGTCAGTTACCGAGACATTCAAGTTCAACGCTATGAAGGAAGATCTTTGTCAGTTACCTATAATATATTCAACATTTGCTATTATATGTAACATTAACTATTAACCAAATATAACAGACATAAAACACAGGAAAGCAAGTAACTACCAAGGAAAACAATATAAACAACCACAAACCCTTGCAGAAGCTTTCTCCAAGGCCTTATCATTGTATAGTTCAGTCCACTTTTGGGTTATGCTACACTAAAGACCTCATGAAAGATGGCAAAGCAAAAGTACAAAATATAGAAGTTTTTGTTTATAAACTTTTAGACAAGTCTTTATCCTGATAACTTCCCACCACTGAATAGTAAAATTTGGCATTAGTGTACAGTATGGGAACCTACCAAATAAACTATGGGGTCCCAACTTCCTACAGTCTTCAGACCTGTAGGACTAAATTTTGGTACCACTAGCAGGGCCATGAGTATTGTTTGAGGATGATACTATGTGGTTTAATCCTTTCTTTCTTTATAAGAAAGCTGTTTTTTATAAAGAAGAGATTTTCATGGAGTGTTTCTAGTGAACACGATTCATTTGATGCAAATATTTCCAGCAGCTAGGAGTCCACTTCTTTCTAGGCAAATATCTACTATTAATAAACAACTCAGATTATCTGAGAAATAATTCCACCCAGATGACCTGAAATCTGCTTTCCAAACTTTTATATCTTTATATGTGTTTCAGCTTTCTGGAGCAAAGCAACCTGAACCACCCTAGGCTTTTAAAAGGAACCCAGATGTCCACAAGGCAAGCTAGTCAGGAACAGAGCATTGAAGCACGACTTCCCTTGATGAGTCCCACACACAGTACAGAATCACAAATAAGCAACCAGCAATTGAATGATATACTTTCTGTCAGTATTGTATAAGACTGTGTTGTTTTTTGAAATAATCAGTGACACAATGCTGGCTGTTACTGAACTTGACATTGCATTATATATCTTAGGTGTTTTTCACACTAGTCATGAACGTGGACCTACAGCTGTAGGACTTCTCTGTAATGTCTTAAAATTTGGTCTTTGTTAATCATTCCACCGTATGAAATCTTACTGATCTCAAATTGTCAGTCAAATGGTTATCTATACCTTTGTATCTTGTCACACAGAGAGTTGACAGGCTATGCCATCTACAAATTTATCCAAGATTGATAAAAATGATAGTGCAGCCATGCATAAGGAGGCCCCTTCACTTTGTGTTTCATTTATTAATCAGTGCTATGCTTATTCTTTCTTAGGACACCAACAGTATATGTGGTAGATATGGATTGTATGAAAGGGAATACTTTAATTTGAAGGAATCAGTTTTAAACAGTTACTGAAAAATTAAGTTTTAAACAGTACATTTCAAAAATTCCTTTCTGTTTCTACACTTTAAGTTTCAAAATGGCCTTTTAGTACCACTTTATTTCTTTTTTTAAGAGTAGGAAGAATTTGTGGACGGAAAGAAAGCTTCAGTCTGAGAGGGACAGAAGGAGGCTTGGAAAGTGGATTGCCCCAATACCACTTTCTTTAACTTTGTTTTTAATTTCTTTTCCTTACTCCATGAAGATGATTAGAATTATTTTTAAAATATAAGTTATTTAGGCACTTTAAAAGTATTTGTTGAGCAGCTTTTTGTGAGTTACCATAGAATTTTCATTCATTTAGATTATGAAATATATCCCTATGTATACATATGGAATTGTTAATTTATTATTATTATTTTTGTTTGTTTGTTTGTTTTTCCAGTACCAGGGATTGAACTCACGACCTTGCGCTTGCCAAGCAGGCACTGTGCTGCTGAGCTATATCCCCAGCCCAAGGAATTGTTAATTTATTGAGCCTCTATCCAAGGATTGTGCCTGAAGGCACAGAACTTCTCGGAGGAGAAAGCGCTGATTGACAGCCAGAAATTCTCTATTCTAAAGGAATGACAAGAGGAGACACAGGCTGAAGGAAGGGTTTGCTCCCTGAAACACACAAAAAAAGATGGTAGATTTCCAATCAACCACATAAACCTGGTGAAAAGTTAGATGCTTCTGAAGAAAGTATACTGATTTTTGTAGAAACTGGCAAAATATAAAAACATCTGTTTATATGCTTAAATCAACATATGGAAGAATCAAAACGTTACTGAAAATGCTTAGCTAGCTTTCAAGGAATAAGTTCACGTTATCAAAAGTAAATCTTGCTATAAGTAGTGACATGATTTTTAGTATGCCTCCCTACTCAAGTAGAGTCAAATTTCCCTTTTACCTTAATAATGGGAGCATAGGACTTCTCTGCTTGAAGAATTTCTTCCAAATTAAAAAAGTAAAATCTTTGCAGAAAATTTTTCTATAAAACCTAAGGAAAGTGCTCCTGATCTGTTTCGCTGACAGCATTTGTGAGTGTATCACTCACCATTCTCACCTTCTTTCTCTCTGGAGAGCATTAATGGATTCACGAGTCCTCCACAGTTCATTCCTAATGCTGACCACGGTCTAGATAAGCAAGAAATACGGAAAATGAGTTTTTGGTTTGAACGTCACTCACATTCCTAAAAATCTACCATCAGAATGTGATAATGATGTTTCTTGTAAAAGTACAGTGTATTTCAACAGAGCAGCTGATGTTTTGGTGTATGTCTACTAACAATGATGCAGGTATATACACAGTTTATTTACACCAAACAAGTGAAAACACAGAAAACAGTTTCATGATTTCAAAAATTAGGTGAAAACAATCTTTTGCTCAAGTTAGTTTGCCTCTGTGAACATCCCTTTCCCTAAAAACATCTACTAAAAGCAACTGGGTCGTTTTCTTTCCCTTGGCTTAGGATGTCTTTCACTTACTTTCTTCCACCTTCTACTTTAATTTTATTTTCTTTGCATTGCTTCCTACTTAGAGAATTAGCCAAGTCTGTTGAGTTAGTGACAGTTGGCATGGCTCTTACTTAGGATTTCCCCACCAAACCTCTCACGCCAAAGTCAGCTCCCTGAATGGCACCCCGAGGGCTTGTACCAAGCTGACCCGGCCAGACCCAGACTTCTAGAGCACAGTGTCCCGGCCTGGCTCCCACTGTTCGGATGGGAGAGCGGATCTCATTATTCGACATTCACAAGCAGCAGTGACTGGACTCTGCAGCCTCCTTCCCTGCTTACAAGTGCTCTGCAGAGGCACTGGCCACCTCCGCGGCACTGTTCCATAGGAACGGCCTCAAGGGAAGAACAGCAGGAAAAAGTAACTTGGTGGTACGCAAACTAAAAGTCTCATTTTCTAGGCGGTGTGAGCCCTTTGTGACCTCTCAGTGAACGGTCCCTGTCTGCCTCTTCATTTAAGTAGTACTCAAACAGCTTGACATGCTCAGCCTAGTCTTCCAATCAATGAGTCTGTACTAATATAAAAATCTGCAAATATTGTTACATCAATATTATCATATGGTGTACTTCTCTGTAAACAAGAAGCATATGATGTTTGTGCATATGGATTTACCTTGATATAGTCATAGAACAGATATCATAGTTTATTAAGTTAGTCTCAATATTAGGCTGTTTACAATTTTTGAAAATTAAAAGCATTGACACAGTGAATAGAATTCCATAGATTTTTTTTAATACATGTGCAAGGTTCTCAAGGCTTCAGCTTAGTAGGTAACACTCATTTGTCCCCCCTGTCTCAAACAGATTATCTCTGGGGAACTAAGGACTGGATCTGGGTTAGGATTTATGGCTGAAAAAGAAAGCATGCAGAAGATAATGATGATGATGATGATGATGATGACTATGACAATTTTAAAAAGAGGATTTATGGCCAAAAAGCGTTTAGCTTAATAGATTTAAACTTCTTATGAGATATACTTCTGTTTTACTTGTATAAAGTATTTTAAATAAAAAAGAAATATACTATATATAATATGTGGTAAAAATATGGTGAATCCTTAAATAAAGAATTAAAAACTGTATTGCTGTAAAAGACAAATTGCCACTAAATTCCCTGAGATTACTCCCCCTCATTTCCAACACTCATGTCCCGTCATTCTTGCCACTCTCTGAAGCAGTTCTGGAAGTCCTTCTTTCGTGCATGTCCTTTCAGGGCTGCCCTGATGTCCTGAATCCATTCAAAAAGTTTAGAGCAATTTCTGTCAAACAAAAAAGTACAGCATGTCTCTCCCATCTTATTCACTAGATCTGGTACCAGGAAACTTCTGCCTCTTACCCAAAGTCAAACTGACCAGGAAAGGTAAGTATTTTGAGTCAGATTTAAACATCAAAGCAGTAAGGACAGTGCAACAAAAGTTACTCATGAAAGAAGACTTCCAGAACTGCTTCAGAAAGTGGCAAGAATGATGGGATAAGTGTGTTCAAAATAAGGTGGAGTATTTTAAGGAGGGATTAATGGCAGTGTCTTTTACTGTAATAAATTTTCTTTTCTTTGGTACTGGGAATCAAACTCAGGACCTTGCACTTACCAGGCAGGCACCATGCTGCTGAGCTATACACCTGGCTTTGTAATAGATTTTTAAAAGATAAATATTCACTGCATTTTTTATTTATCCTCATATATCAAAATATTAATAGTGTGTATATGATGGACTGTATATTTTAAAATTTATTCTTTGTTATTTTCTGTCTTTTTCAAATTTTCTATAATAAATATGAAGCCCTTCATAATTGAAGATAAAAAACATTTTAAAATATGTGTCTAGATTTTCCACTGAGCACATTAACATTTTGTAAACTATAAACTAGAGAATGATTTGCCAAACCTGACAACATTCTTACAAAATAGTCTGGATGAATTGTGCGTCAGCACCAATTCTGTCCCTTTTGGACTCACTTGGTGATGTGGGCCGGTGTGGCTCACGTGCTGAGCCTGAGATAATCTCTGATGATCACAGCTGGGGGTTTCTGTGGCTGTTGCCTCCACGGGTCTCGATGGCCTTACACACACAGGATTTTTAGAGTGATTGCACTGAATGGAGAGCCTATTAGGAAGCAGAGATTTAGAGGAAGTTGTAGATGTAGCACTGAGGAAAGCCTTTTCCAAAATTGTCAAGTCAGATGTAGAAGGCAAAAGCCCACCCCTGAATAGCAATCCAGTGTCCAACTTCTTTGTCTGTGCAGACTGTTTAGTTGATAGATAATTATTCAATAATAGGAATGAAAATTCCATTTTCCCTTCTTCACGACAACGTAGCCATGCCAATACAAAGAACTTTAGGGAAGACTGCAGAAATATCTCTTAGGTCAATGTGTTCAGGTCAGATACTAAGGGTTCTAAATATAGGTATGTGCTTAGCATATCATATCTGAAAGAACATGGAACACACTGGTTTAAGGTCAAGCATGTTCACTTTTATACAGTTGCATTTAGTTTTAACCTTTTATTCAAAATCATTTTAAAGCCATCTTGAGTTCTAAAAAAAAAAAAAAAACAACAACAAAAAAGCAGAGAACTCCCTGTCACAGACAGTCCACCTCTAACAAACAGATGAATATACAATTCCTTCAGACATACTGTGATAAGGCACAACAAGAGCACTAGGGAAGAAATGAAATATTTGGTAGTATGCTTAGTTATGTTATTAAGACACAAGCATTTGGATAGAAAAAAGGGTAACCCACCATTTCTTTGTAACACATTTTCTGAGTGATACACTTTGCTCCTACCCTATCTGAGATAATTCTACTAATTTGAGTTCGTTCCATTTCATTTTAGTCCATTTGGGCTGCTATTACACAAGGTCATGTCCTGGGTGGTTTAAACAATAGACATTTATTTTCTTACAGTCCTAGAGGATGGAAGTCTCAGATCAGGATGTCAGCGTGGTCACACACACCATATTTTATACTCATAAATATTCACAAGTATCTGAATGAGTAGTGAATTTGCTTTTGAAACAAACAAAAAAAGAAAATTATCCCCTAGACATTATTCTGTTCCTTGCTTTTTTTTCTCATTGTGTTTGATGCTGAATGTCCTTTAATATAAGAAATAGGAACTAAAACTTGTTCCTAAGCACATCCCCTAGATTCTGTTGCATTCTATATCATACGTGTTTCATCATTTTTCTGCCAAGGGGCCTGAGGTTGTTTCAGTTTTATTGCCCTGACCATCGATGCTACAATAAGCATTTTCATTTACTACTTAGTGCTGCTTCTGGTCCTACAGGGCAGAGTTACAAGAATGGATCACCAGCCAAATCTTGTGTTTACTTCATAGCTTAGGAGATCTTAGTCTTTTAAAACCAAACCTCATATTGCATCTCTCCCCTCGTGATCATACCAACAATTCTCTCTTCTCACAAAATCATCAGTGTTTCCTCCTCACTCATTTTTTTCAATAAATACATGTGCTATTATTTTCTCCATCATAACAAAGCACTCTCTTACCTCTAGTCACTCTATGACCTACACTGTCTTTATGCTTCCTCAACAGTAAGATACCCTGGGATTTTCTCATTGGGTATCTTCAATTTCTCAGCCCCCATTCTTTCATCAGTCACCACAGTCTGGTTTTTCCTACTACCACTATCCTACGGTGTTCTTTTTGGGAGTCATCGATGAGCTGCTCACTCAAGGCAATTCTTGCTGACTTGGCTGTGCCATGTGACACCATACGGCAACCATACTTTCTTCCTTCAACACCTTCCTCACCCATCTTCCAGGGTTCCTCACGTTCTTGAGTTTCTTCCCACCTCATTCTTCAACCTTTCTCAGTCTCCCTTGCTAGTTTTTCCTCCTTTCCCCAGCGCTGTAAAGTGGGATGCAACAAGACTCAGTTTGTGATTGCCCTGTCTTCTCTGTGGCAGTCTCTTACAGTCTCGCACAGATGTGTTGGCAAATCTGTGGCTCTAAAAATTAGAAACGCCCCCGCATTCGTGTCTCTAGCGCATACAGATTCCTGACATGAATGGCCGATAACCTACTCAGCATCTCCATGTGGATGTCTAACAGCCTCCTCAAGCCTCAAGTGTCCTGACCCAAACTCCCGATTTTCTCCCAGAAAATTTCTATACTCACTGCCTCTGCCTCTACGTGCTAGTATTTTATCTAATTTAGGACCGCCATGACGATAGTGTTTAGTACAAATACAAGAATAGGCATATAGATCTGAGGATGAGAATAGAAATTCTATTAATTGATCCAAGTCCGTAAGAGAAGCTGATATATGACCAAATTGAAATTTTAATTCATCAGGAAAAATAGAACACAATTGACTGCTTATCTGATGAGACAGCCAAGGTAAACTACATTCTAAATGGATTAAATTTTAATTCCAAATGGAAACACTAGGAGCAAATTTAGGAAATTGTTTATATGACCTTGTTTCTAACTCTCTAGCCCTTAGTTTACTCTCAACAGAGTAGTGAGAAGGAAAATTTTATTTCAGTTTTTGTAAGTGCTGGGAACAAGAAGCCAGGCCCTTGCACACTCTACTGCCAAGACTGACAGTTTTAAAACTTAAATTAGATCCTCTACTCAGACCCTGCCAGGTTTTCTCAAAGCAAGAGCCCAAGTCCTTGCTCTGGCCTGCTTACCAGCCCCTCTAATATCTGGCCCGCGTCCTTAACTTCCTCTCTCGTTCTCTTCCTACTCTCCTTCCCCTCTGCACCCAGTCACCCTGGCCTCCTCACTTCCTTTGGCCCTGCCAAGTGCACTCCACTTTTCACAGGCTCGCTCTCACCGGATAGCTTGCTTCTCTCAGGTATATGTGTGACATCCTCCCCTCTTCCAAGGCTTTTTCAAATGTCCTCACTCACCAAGGGCCTGTACAATCACCTCCTTTAAATTTGCCTCCAACTCTCCCTGCAAGTCCTGAAAGAGAAGTGCCGTGAAAGCAGAGATCTTTGCCTCTGTCCACTGATGGATTCCAAGTGCTCAGAAAAGTGTTAGATAGTCACTGGATACTTAAATAGTATAAAAACTTTTAATTGATCATATTTTATGGAATAAATAAATGAATGCTTTCCAAATATTTTCTCAAAGTACAACCACTTGTACTTTGACCAAATTTCAGACATGCCTGTTTTTTTCCATCCTTTACCAGAGTAGGATCCTCTGTGTCATCCTTCCTTTGCTGTCTCATAAGCATTTCTCTAACTGCTAGTGGTGCTGGGCATTTTTGTGTGTGTTAAACAGCCATTTAGAATTCTTTTTCCAAGATAATCTACGTACGTTTTTGGTGTATTGTCCTCTTTCCCCTTTTTCCTCCTCTTCTTCATTTTCTTCTTGAGTTTTTGTTACCAATTTGCAGCCAGTTTTTGAATAACCTAATTTGACTTATTGCTGAAAATATCTTTCCGATTCTAAGGCTCATATTTGTGACATTGTTTATTGTAGGAAAATATTTAAGTTTGCATGCTGTTACACACCTCTGCTTGCCTTTTCCTTCATGATTTCTCTTGCTTTTTTGTTTGTTTGTTTGTTTTTGTCTTGCTTAGGAAAGTCTTTTCCCACCACAGCTTCCTTATGTTTTCTGGAATTGTAAAAAATTATTTCCATATTTAGATTTCATTCAGTTTGGAATTTATTTTAGCATATAGGGCAAATAAGGGCCAGTTTTTTCCTTCAGCTGGATTATGAATTACCCTATGAATTTCACAACTATGAGTTCTTTCCTATTGAACTGAAATAGCACCTTTGTCACATATTAGGTTTCCACATGTTCTTGGATCAATTATTAAATTATACATTATCATCCTAAGATCTGTATATCATTCCTTTTCTACTACACTGTTTGATCATAGTGTCTCCATACTGTTTGTATACCTGCTGAAGAATATCTCTGCCCACTTACAAGTTCGACTATTTTTGTACATTTATTCTTCCAACATATGTTTGAAATTCTTTTATCCTATTTAAAAAGCATTGTGATTTTACTTGGAAGTGTGTTACTTATATATAGTTGATTCTTATTATTCACAGTAGTTATGCTCTATAAAGTCACCTTGAATACTGACTTCACAAATACCAAACCATTGCTCCTGGGGAGGGCACAGGGGTAAGTTTCTATGACCTCTGGTCACAATTTTCATTGGTCCATCAGTACATAACCTTGTTTTATGTCTTTGTTTACAGACCGTTTATTTAACATATGTTGTGGATTCATTGATGTTGAACCCAATAGTAAACAGCATTGAATCACATGCTTGAATAAAGCTCATCTAATGCACATTTTCTCATTAACACACATCACCTACGAAAACCACATAAATGTGAAGAACATGGCCCCAGGTGGACTATGTGAAGGACTCTTGTTTTACAGCATGAGAGCTAAAAGAGGAAGGTAGCCCACTTCAGTTGGACCTCCGCTGGGGATGTACGCGTCAGCCAGCACCAGAGTGTCTTCCACATACCTGTAAATACTGCAGCCACACCCCGTTACTTGGGGGGTACAAACACATTTTCCCAGCAACTAAATTTGTAAATACTGAATCTGTGAGTAATGATGATAAATTATATGAATTTTTGGAGCATGAACATTCTTATGCCAGTGTCTTTTTTGTTGGGTATCTGGTGTCTTTCTGTCTTTGTTCAGGGTTTGTTTCCTGTACTCAGTGAATATAATTTTTTTATATGAACCTTATTTTTATTAAACTTTCTAGTTCCTTTTAAAGTAATTTTTACAGTCATTGCACCTGGGATTTTCATAAAATACACAGCTGGTTATTGCTAACACAGTGAAGGACTATGAATTTGTCATATTTATTTTATATTCCAGCTTCACTCAAAGCCTATTAATTTTAGTTTTTGTTAGAGTTATGTGGGTTTTCTTAGGGATTTACAATCATATTAGCTGCAAATGGAAGCAGTGTTGTCTTTTCTTTTTCAGAATTTCAATTTTCTTTTTTGTTAGATTTGGAAGAACTTCCCAAGATATTTAATAACTGGTGATATTTGATATCTAGCTTTCAATTATGTTTTTATAAATAAAACTGTTCTCTTTTCAGTGTGAATAACTATATGTAAAGCAAGTAAATTCACATCAAAAGGGAGGAAGCTTTTTACATACATTTTCTTTGCTTAATCACCGAATCAATTCATTGCTATCCCTTGGCAATAGCCCTTAACCTCTTAGAAGATGGACAGTACTAATGCACCAACGTAGTGGGTATCAAGAATGTGTTTTTGTCTATTATCACATTGTAAAATAGTAATATTCCACATTCATTTTACCTAGGTCTAATTAGAATTTGTGAACTCATCCATACCCAGGCTAAACTGAAAATTATTAATAATATTGTTTTGGGGAAACAACCCTATTGTACTTGGGGCAGACAGAATAGAACACATTGATTTTTTTTTTATTTTTGCATAGTCCTTGTCATGCCCTTTTTTCATCTTATTTCCACAAATACTCTGCGATTGTAAAGGACAGGGTATCATTGTTATTAGGGGAAGAAAGTGAGTCTTGGAAAAATAAAGTGACTTCCCGGAGGTCACACATGCAGCTAACCGAAGATGAGACCTTGTGTCTCTGTTCCGGGCCTGTTCACACTTCTCCACCTTGTCCCAACACTGTCCCTGCACTCTTTCTGAATTTCTTTCATGGTTCATTCCGAAAGAGCTCGCGATCAGCCTTATCCATCCATCCATCTCATTATGCATTCATCGATCAGTCAGCCCATCACTCATCTAGCAAACATTCATGGAACATTTACCATATAAAGATATTGTTTTAGTCTCTAAAAGTACAACTGGAGACAACAGAAGGTTCCTCCCCTCATAGAGCTTACATTTGCATGAAGTGGGTAGCAGGGGTTGGAAAGACAACAGTAAATAAATACAATTAAACAAATCAAGTATATGGAATGCCAGACAGTGAAGAAGTGCTTTGAAGAAAAATAAAGCAAAGGGAGGATGGCTGGGGAGTGCCAGAGTGGGGACAGAGGCTGAAGAGAACAAGGTCATCGGGCAAAGGCTGTAAGAATGAGATGACGTTTGAGCAAAGACCTCTGAGGGTTAAGCCACGCAGAGGCGATCTGCAGGTACTGTCGCCCCCTGGTGGAAAGGCCTGTGGCTGAAGTAGCATGAGTCAGAAGAGAGGCACTCCAGGCTCAGGGCCGGTAGGGAGCAGGACTGTACAGCCCCTGGGATCGGACTTCAGCTCTCTTTGAAGTCCTCACAAGATCTGCGTAGAGAAATGGCATGGTCTGACCCAAACTGGAAAAGATCACCCTGGCTGTGGCACTAGAAGCAGACAGTGGAGTGGCCAGTGAGTTATCTTAATAAAATAATAGAAATACACAGAAAAATCCATGTACAGGCATGCTGACTGCAGAATTATGGGAGAGGCAAAATTTGGATATAACCAAAATGTTCAGTGAGAAGAGATTCCTTATGAATTAAGCAACCTCCTTATAAGCGGGAAAGGAAGGTTAATAAAATTGATATTTTAGGTACTTACAACACGGACACACTCTCCAGTTGGTGTAGGTGAGGAGAAGAATGAAAAATTGCGCCTATCGTGTGATCTATGCATGGGAAACACTAAAACATGAATGGCACTGATCTGCACACCACGGAATACTGAGTGTCTTTCTTTTCTTTTTTTAAGAAAATGAACTGTCAACTCTGAATTAGGCTTCCAAAGGCAAACCATCAGAATAAAGAGAAAAGTTGTGTAAACATCACAAGAATCTTCTGTGTCCCTCTGGTACCTCTCCTTGCATGGTCACTGAAAGGCATTGCTACTTCTCACTGGTACGTTTAAGTTCCAGGCCGTGTCTACAGGGAAGAGGAATCTTCAGCCCTCCCTCACCTTTATGTTGTTTTGATACCAGGAATCAAACTCATGACCTCAGACTTGCCAGGCAAGCGCTTAATACCGCTGAGCTATATCCCAGGCCCCCTCCCTCACTCCGACCACCTGTCTTGTTAAGGATTTTCAACAGTACAAAGCCTGCAGCTGCACCCTCTACTGCCTGCACCATGCAATATCCAGTACCCTAGACCACCACACCACAACTGTGCCTTCTTGACACTTACTCAGCCTGTGCGTGGTGAGCTGGGTCGTCCGGTTTCACCTGCTTCAGCAGCCATGGTCTTCTTGGATCTCCTCTTCTCGGACAGCGGCCCTGGAGCAGGTTGTTTCTGAGCGTCTTGAGAAGGAGTTTTGTATTCTCCTTTGCTGACAGCTGCTGAGATGGCCAACATTTAAAAAGTCGTCAGATCTGTCTAAACACGGTCTTCTTTCCATGCTTTGGGGGACAGGATGTGATGATAGGTTTTGGAATTATTTCTCTTACTTTGATATACTTGGGAAAATAATCTCATTTCCTTACTTCTTGAATTTCTTTAACTTCTCTCAGCACACATATCCACATAGCCTCCAAATTAAATGCCCTTATTCTCTCAGTGACTTCTCTTCTTCAGAGGAACCTTCTAATTAGGAATTCTAAGGCTAGAAGAGACCGTGGAAGCACAGTACTCTATAGTTGCTAACGATGGGATTTGGAATTTCTTTGAGAATTGGACGGTAACTTGTGGCTTTATCTCCAGAAAAATACTGTTAGTTCTAATCTTATATATAATTTCAGTGGCTGTGTGGACCACATGATGCCCACCCAGCCACCTCCCCTTAAGAACTTCTGCTACAGGGAATATTAGGGGATGGGAGAGGAGCGAGGAGGCAGAGGGAATAGTAGAAGCGTAATGGATATGAGCAACACAGGATGTATGCATGTCTAGAACTATCACAGCGAATCCCATTAATCTGTACACAATATGCATTAATAATTATAATGAAAATGAAATTTTAGAAAGACTGGAGCACACACACACAAAAGAAATGCAATGTTTGATCAAGAGGTCTTCAGCACTTGAAATTTATAGTGTAATAAAAAAGTGACCACATGGTGTCGCTGTAACATCATTAAGCCCCTGGCTTTCAGAAACAGGAAGCTAGATGATAAGCCAATGAAACTGAAGGACTGGGCTAATACAGGTTTGGAAGGCCGTGCCCACGGTAAAGTATTAGGTACCCTGACTTTTGTGGACCCTTCATGTTAAACAGCAAAAGGGAAAGTTCATTGAGAAAGACTGTTGGGGCTGGGGATTTAGCTCAGTGGCACAGCGCCTGCCTGGCAAGAGCGAAGTCGTGAGTTCAATCCCCGGTACCAGGGAAAAAAAAAAAAAAAGAGAGAGAGAGAAAGACTATTTATCAACATCCCTCCCTGCTGTGGTATTTGAAGAGGGTATCATTTGCATGAAGAAACTGATTTGCAGGAAATTAGTGATGAAAGACAATGCTCTTTCTAAAAAAAATTAGAAGACTATTTGTTTAAAATGTGCTGTTCTATTTTTTTTTTTTTGTTCTTGAAAATAACTAAACGCACTTGTTGGATACTAATAATTTTCTTAAAAACACTGGAAGGTAGCTGTAAAGCCTCAGTTACTCTGTCAGTCAAAAACTGAGAAAATAATCTTCTTTCCTGAAGAAAAAAATACTTATGAAGGTATGTTACAAAGAAAACTTTTCCAAAATTATGCCACCAACTAGAAGTTTGTTGTGTGATTTTGACCAAAGCAAAGCCTTTTTCTTTTTCATCTATGCAAATTTCCAATGCCTCTCCCTCTAACTTTCACAGATATTTTCTAGTGCACAGTATGGGATTGATGGCCAGTTGGATTCTGATCGGTTTTTCTTCTCCCCAAAAACATTTTATTAAAATCTGCAATGTAAAGAAAACTTATTTATATTGAGAAATATTCAGTTTCTTAGTTTTAGATATGACAGAAACAATATCTGTAAGCTTTCTTAGTTTTAGATATGACAGAAACAATAGCTGTAGATTAACTGAAAGGAAGGGTTTTTTGCTGCTTATTAAGACTTTATGAACAAATCCTTTAGCAGGTTGTATTAGATGTTACCTGAACACAGTGTTCAATTACAGGATGTGACTTCTGGTGAGACTTGCTGTGGACACCAGATAAGAAACACACCTGGCACATGTCAAAGTTGAGACACTTCAGACAGCGGTACCTGACAATGAAAATGGAAAGGCAGCTTATATCATTACCAGTAGGAAAGCAAACAAATAATACTTAGGTAGATGGCGAAAACTTACAGATGTATGAACTGTCCAGTGAGTATAAAGTTTTTTCAAAGTTGATAAAGATATTAAATAACCTTGTTATGTTTATTTAATTAAAGAAATATTCCTTTGATAGTATTTCTTATGGCTTTTATCTAGATGTACCCCAAAACCTCTTATCCTTATAGGTGAGGTTTTTGGGAGGTGGGTGGATCATGTGTGTGTGATACTGGATTAAGGGTGAAGGAAAGATGGATTAGTCTATTGATTGGTTTAGCATAGTTCTGGGTGTAGATAATGGAAAGGTCCACTCTGAATGTGTGGATGACATCGACCAATAGGCTTGTAGCCCAGAAAGAATATAAAGGGAAAGGAAGGCTTGCTACTGACTGGTTCCTGCATGCCCTGCTATGGACTGTTTCTTCTCTGCCAGGCCTCTCAGACATGCCACCTCGTCTTGCAGCCAGTCAACTGTGGAATGAAACCTCTACAAACTGTGAGCTGAAATAAACATTTCCTCCTTAACATGTGAGTGTCGAGTATTTTGTCCCAGCAACAAGAGAGCAGCTAAGATAGTATCTTCATAAGGCATAATATTAATATAGTTTTATCCAACAGGGCATGGTAAATAGGTCTGATTCCCCTTCCTCAATCTCCCACTACCCTGATACCATGTGCCTTCTCTATGCAGGGTCCTGTGTGCTAAGTCTTTAGGAAAGATCTTAAATCTGCACAGACTAGGAGGGAAAATCTCTGGTTTTTGTACCTTTTGTACTCTCTTTAGAAGAATAATGCTTTGTCCACTTCCTGCTACCTTCAGATCTGTGAATCCTGCTCTAAAATGATATTATTAATCTCCCTAAAAGCAAAGCTATTGTTTGTGGTTTCTGAGAGCCAAGAACAAGTTTATGGTTAGGATTATAATAAATCCAAACAATTTTTAATAGACTTAGAAGGTTAGAGCTAAAGGAAACCCATGTATCATTTAATTAGTCCCTTCTTGTTTTACTTTGCCCTAAATGTGTAGGAAAAAAGATAGCTCTCACGGAAACATTTTGAGGAGGAAGCTTAACCTCATTCTTCCCAGAGAAGGAAACGTAAGTACAGCACTCATCCTCTGCTTTGCTTTGCTGTTTGCTTGAGTGACCTGAGCAACTCACTGAAACTCTAAGTCACTCAATTTGTGCCATCTATAAAATAGGAATATCTGATTCATGCTGTGCATAATGATTTTGAAACAATATTTTAATGTAAAAGTTATGGTTTATGTAATTGCAAAGTTAATTCTGCCTCTGGCCTAGAGCAAAACACATAGCAATTATATAAAACACAGCTTTTACATTGCTTATTGGCTAAATGATTATAACATGCATACAACAAGATAAATAATATTTCTATTCCTCTATGGTCAGATATAAGAAAAGCTTATTATTCCTCGTGGTACGGAGATTCCCGTGGTCCTGCTGGCTTGGTTTCCAACAGTCCTTTCTGTTGATGTGTCTTATTGTTGGATGCTCAGTTATTTGCAGAGATTTTTAGGAAAGAAATTTTGCTGTGTACTCTAAATTCCCTGGAAACCCAGTTTATTTTGTCAGCAAAATTAAAAATTAATTTTTATGTTTTTAGTGGGCTCTGCAGACCTATTTTATATCTGTGGGGAATTTTTAAGGTCTAATTTTTTAAGGTCAAGAACTACGGGAAAGGAAGTTGAACAAACTGAGCAAAAGCCAAGCCCTCAGGCCTCCATCCCCTCCTTTCTGGGGACCCCAGTGGCGACTTGGTCTTTACCCCCTGAGGGTGCCAGGGCTTCTTCCCACTCCTCTCCAGCCTGTGCCCACTTCCCGTGAATCATGAGGTTGCCCATGCTTGGCCCAAACCTGCCAGTTTTCCTTCTCTTTTCCCCAAGTCTATAGTAAAAGCCATAATAACTTTACTTCCTTGTTGTTTTATTTATGGCAGACCTTCATCACCTTTTCTCTAAGATGGAATTCCGACCGCCATCATCAAAGCTGTAGCAAGGCCTGAGTCTCTAACTCCTAAACCTAGCTTTGAAATCTGCCCTGTCTCTAGGCAGAGAGAAGATCTGGCTTGTGCTGCTCTTACAAAAGCAGACTGCTCCTTTGGGTTCCGTGCCTTGCTCTCCGCTGTCTACACAGCCAGGGAGCAGAGTATCATGATTGCAAAGCAGGGACTCCGTTCAGACCGCCAACCTCTGCCACTTATTAACTGTGTGAATGTGAGCACATTATTTAGGCACTCATCAGGCTGATAACACCACCTTTGTAAACGTAGCATATTTCAAATAAAATGGTCTATGAGAATCGTTCAGCCGAAGATCCAACACTCAACAAAGAAAAACTATTATCGTTGTCGTAGTTATGGATGACTCCAGGGTATTTAAAAGGTGTTGCTATTGTGCTTGTTGTTGTTAAACAAAAGACAATTTTTCCCCTTAGGGTAATAAATATATTTACTGACCATAGTATGAGTCAGTGGAAAAGTTATGCAAGATAAGTTCATTTGCGAGCAGGGGGCCTCCAACAGGGAATTGTGCTGAAAAAGTGAGCCGAGTTCCAGAAGTGGCAGAAGAATCTGAGAAAACGCTGCCCCAACTCTAGACCTATTTGGAGGGTGTTACCCATGAAAAAGCAGGGACTGTACCTCAGTCCTGTGATGGGAAAGGCCCTGCAGATGCCGCACCGAACGGGGTGAGTGACCATTTCTGTGGCTGACAGTCGATAGCAGGTTGGGAGCCACAGGAGGATGAGAGGCTCGGACTGTACCCAAGACAGGAATTTCTCCTCTTTGATTCCTGGGCTCACCACCTGAAAAATGACGGCAAGCTAAAAGGTGGTTTTAGGCATGACTGTGTATTTTTACCTTCTTTTTTTGGGCTCTGTTTCTATCTGTTCGGCCAGAGAAGTTTATCACGTGAAAAGTTGGAGGCAAATTTACCTCCCAAGTAAGGTTGTCTGCCCCGTTGTGTGGAGTCTGGTTTGAATAAGTCGCAAACTCCTCGAGTCTGCCTGCCCCAGATCCCAGCGACGCCGCCGCCGCCTCACTCACCCCTTGGAAACAGCTGCGGACAGCGCTGTTCACCGAGCTCAGCGTGCGACTCTCGCCCACAACAGTTGGGATCTGCAAAAGGGAACCTCACCTCAGTAGCTCGAAAGTCCAAGAAAATGTGGCCACCTGAATGGACGCACTTAAGAGACAGTACTGAACCCAGGGTCACCGTATTGGGTTCCCAAGACTGGAAGAGCTACACCAGTCCAAGCAAGAAGAAGAAATTTGCAGTTTTATGCAATGTTCAAGTTGAAGCAATGAATGAATGAGGGAAAAAAGAGGAAGAAGGGAAATGAGGGAACAAAGTCTGGTGATTGGGGCAATAAAAGATGACTTCTGTTGATTTACTTCTTGTGATCTGATTTTAGTTTTTCTTTGCCCTATTTACCTATGAAATGCAAATCATAATAACACTGCATTCAAGTTCGTAATGGTTTTAAGGAAAAGCTTTGCCAGTGTTTTCACATCATATCATTTTAACACATGTTATCCTATGAGATGCTCATCTTTATCATTGTTAAACTAAGAGGGTGACAAGAAATGAAATCTCTGTGTCAAAGCACTATCTGCATCCCTGTGTTCGTTGCTGCATTATTCATAATAGCCAAGATATGCAAATGACCTAAGTGTCCATGGACACTGAGGAATACAGGAAATGTGGCATCTATAAACTGGAATACTATGCAGGCTTTAAAAAGAAGAAAATCCTCTCACTTGCTACAGGATAAACCTAGAAAACAATATGCTAAGTGAAATCAGCCAGACACAGGAAGATAAATATTGCATGACATTCCTTATATGGGGAATCTAAAAAGCTGGACTCAGAAGCAGAGAGTAGAAAGGGGGGCATGTCACGGAGTTAGAGGTCAGTAGGGGAAAGAAGACATGTTGGTCAAGAGCACAAAATTCCAGTTACTGTATACAATGAATAAATTCTGGGGATCTGTGAATGTGATAGTTAACTTATCCTATCAACTCGAGTAAGAAATGCCCAGCTACATGCAGCATAGTTCTAGATGGGATTTACGAAGACAGAAGACCCAGCCTGGGTGTGAGTAGCACCAACCAGTAGCCTTAAGTCTGAGTCGGCTAGAAGGGAAATGAAGAAGGAATGCTCACTTCTGTTTGTTTGGAGGAGCTCCAGTCTTCACCTTCACCTTGGACATGGTCTCCTAGCTTCCAGTGCAGGCCCTTCGGCCTTCTTATAAGGACTGGCTCGGGCACTACAAAGCCCAGGCCTTCGACCTGTGGCAGATTTGGGAGGAGATCCACACTGAATGTGGGTGGGACCATCTACTCGGCTGAGGCCCGGATGGAGGAAACTTGAAAGCATGGGCACTCTTGGCACCTCCTTCCCTCTGTCCGTGCCTTCCTGCACTGTGACCTGAGAGGTCTCCCTCCGCCACATCCATCCGCCATAGTGTTTCTACCCTGGCGCCAGTCGACCATGGCTGAAGCTTCTGAAAGCATGATCCAAAATAAATCTCTCTCTTAGTTGTTTTTGTCACTTATTTTGTTGCAGTGACACAAAGCCAGTGCAAGATCTAATGCAGAGCGCAGTGACTATCATTCCTAATACTATGTTGTTCATTGGACATGTGATAGGAGAGCTGATTGCAGGTATTCTTGCCGCCCCTCCACTCACACGCACAAACAGCCACTGTGGGAGCGATGGATTGTGTGCCTGTGGTGATCACTACACAGTGCATAGTTATGTCATTTTTCCTTTTTCAGATGGGGCCTGCCACATTGTCCAGTCTGGCCTCCAGCTCCTGGGCCCAGGTCATTCTCCTGCCTCGGCTTTCTGAGTAGCTGAGATGACGGGTGTGCACCACCACGTGCTGCTGAAATCTTGACTATGTATAGTTTTCATTTTGTTAATTAAATATTTTTTAAAGAATCAATGAACAGGGTGAGTGTATATATATGTGTGTGTGTGTGTGTATGTACACTGTATATAAAACAGTTTGTATAGTTGGGACATTTATTTTTATAAAATATGCAATATTTTTAAATAAAAATGATATATAAAAAAGAATCAATAAACCATGGGATGATTCAGACTTGACGTTTCCCTCAAGGTGAAAAAAAAAATTAACTACATAACTTGGGTTTCACTCCAGAACTCCTTACTCTTTGTTGAGAGATTTTCACAAAGCTTTATAGTACTCAACATGATAGATATTCTAATGCCCCACTCAGTCATGTTCATCTTTCAACCTAGTCACCAGAAGGACTGTAACTAAGGGAGTAAGGGCCTTTGGTGACTGCCAAGATGGGCAGGGTGGATTGGTTCTGAGGTCATCTGTATGCACAGATGTGTGTATTGTTGCCTCCACTTGTTCCCATTTTGTCAGGAGTCCTAATTCACATTTGACATCCTCTACAGTACAGATGTTAGAAGGAGTGGCTGTATGTCCAGGAGGAATCTCAGAGACTCCCCTGCAAGTTCATCAACTCCAAGAAACACTCTTCTAATCAGGAAAGTGGTACTTGGAACCTTTTCGCTGACAATTAGCCAGGCAGAAGTCAACAAACACGTGCACAACAGTGACAAGACAGTTTTGTTTATACATTAAATTGATAAGAACCCCATCAGCGGTCAAATGTTTGTAACTACACAGTATGTTATTAGCCTTTGTCTGAAAAAAATAACTCATTGCTCATCCTTTGGCTTCCCAGTGTTGATGAACTAACTGGACCATTTATCGAGACTGGTGTTAATTCAGCATCCACACTTCTCTGTTGTCCTTGAGCCCTGGGAAAGGAGTTTCACTTCATTTGTAAAATAAGGGAGGTGGATAATGAGATCGGCTTGCCAGCTCTGTGATTCTAGCATTCATGAAAAGAAAATTCTCTCTGTAGTGTGTTTTAGTGTACATTTTTGCTTTTAAGTGTGTGCACAGTGATTTCACAGATTAAATGCCCGTTTGACTAATTTCCTGCAGGTGTTATATGGAAGAATCAAATGTGACTAGATGGCATGGTGACTCAGACAGAGTGGCACTTGAAAGAACAATTAGGATTCTAGAGGTAGGGATTGAATCACATAGTGTAGTCTGGAATGTTTTACCAGAATTCATCTCTGTGTCTCTTTGGAAGTTAATTGAGTGACAATTTGTTATGCAAATCTCCATTTTCCTAATAGCTTTCTCAGGAGCAAACTAATATGTGTAGGATGGGGGGACACACTACAGAATCTGTCGCTGCAGTAACTCAAGAACCTTAGCTGAATTCAGAACAAGGGCAGACGCTGGGGGGGTCTGTTAGCCTGGTGCTAGTCTGCAGATACAGGTAGTAGTCAGGGGAGCAGCATAAGAAATTCTAGAGGAAGAGGAATATGTCCCCTAGCTCATCATCCTAATCTTACACAGATGGGTGAAGAGATTCCACTACCCTCCCTAGCTCTCCATCTCCTGGAGTTCTGAGATAGTTGGAGAAGGACATCTGCTATGATGGCTTTCTGAGATAAATGCTGTTGCAACCACAAGAACAGCTTGAAAGTCTCTATACCTGATACTTTAGCATTGTAAAAAACTTAAAAGTCACCATGTTATTTGCATAATACGAGCATCTTGAAGAAAGGACAAGGAGAGTGGAGTAAGGTGGCAAAATAGGACTTTCAGCAATTGCCCCCTGCAGAATCATCAATTAGAACACTATATGTGCATGTAATTGCTTTATCAAGAGCTAAAGACACCAGGGGAAGATCACAGCGCATGGTTATACCTTAATAATAAGAAAAGAACTATTGAAGAAGGCAGGGAGAACAGCTTTATATTACTTGTGTTATCCCTTCCTCAACCAAAAGTGGAACAGTGCTAAGAGAATTACTACTTGCTTGGGGAAAAGAGAAGAAAGCAAATGTAGTACTTTGCATAGAACCCCAATGCTAGACTCACCACAGTAAAATCCAGCATCAGGAGGAACTCCATGGTGCATAACTCTAGGTTGATATCTAACAGCTGAACCTTAAGACCCTTAAGACCCATTCCAGGCCAGATGAGAGTCCATCACTCCTGAAAGATGATCTCAAGTTAGCCTGGATCACTGCTGGCCAAATCAGTGACCTTGAGCTCCAAATAAACCAGCAGTAGGCAGGCCTTCACAGATAGTGGCTTGGATTCCACAGACAACTTTTCCAGAATTTCTAGATGGGCTTATACTTACAGATCATTTCCAGACAAAGGTAGACTGCAGACTTGAGTAAGTACTACCTGCCTATTTCTACAGTGTGCAGACATCAACACATGACCACAGGATCAAAAATAACAACAGAAACATGACACCACTAACCAGACAAAATAGGTGCCAGTGATTGATTCTAAAGATGGATCTATACGAATTGCATGACAAAGAACACAAAAAAATTCATTTTAAAGAAATTTGGCAAACTTCAAGAAAATCTAAAGAAACAGTTCATAAATTTATCAGAGAAATTGAAATGATAAAAACAATTAGAAATGCTAGAGTATACAAATACAATGAAAAAAATGTATGAACTCAAAGACAAGTTGCTTAAAAATATACTGATAGAACAGAAAAGAAAAAACAATGAAAAGGATGAAGAAAGCTTGAAGAATTTATGAGACAGCAACAAAAAAAAGCACAAGCCATTGATACTGATTTTCAAGATGGACTAGAAAGAGACTAAAAGATAGAAAGATTACTTAAAGAAATAAATAACAAAAACTTTCCAAACCTGAAGAAAGATAAATACACAGAACTAAGAGAGTAAAAAGTCTCTATTTGGTTTCAATCCAAATAAGATTACCCCATGACATACATGGTCTTCTCTTCCTTCAGAGCCCACATCCAGATTCAACCAACTATGGATAAAAGCATTTGAAAAAACATTTCATTTCTACTGAACATGCAAGGACTTTTTTCTCATAATTATCAATTAAATAATACAACATAAAAAAGACAATTATTCACATAGCATTTATAATTTAGTAGGTCTAATGAGTAACCTAGAGGTAATTTAAATGTATGGAAGGATGTGTATAGATTATATGAAAGTACTTGCTATTTAAACAAAGGACTTGAGCACCCATGGATTTTGGTATCTG